AAATAGCTCTCGTCAGGTATCAAATTCTCATTTGAAAGGTGGGAATCTTTGTGCAAATAACTTCTTTATTAGAGAAGCACTGTCAAGCATCGTTGTGATACTATGTTTAGCTTTTAAATGAAGTGTTCTCCGGGATCTTCATTTGCTGAGCCATCTGAGCCTTTTGTCTGCAGCACAGGGGAGCAAGTGGTCTGTGAGAGCTGTGGGGTGTGTGCCCTGATCTRTGCAGTGTGGGCAGAGCTCTGCAGCTGCAGTGCCCTTGGAGAGAAATGTTCAGCTGCTTTTGAGCTAAGTCATGGTCTGCAGCCTCTCTGTTCTTCACCCTCTCAAGTGGAGAAGTTATGAAGCAGCTTTTAGTGCTTGGATGTGTAAATACTTAAATGTTTGGGCTTAGAAAGTCGRTGCTTTGTGTGGTTTGGGGAATTGTGTTTCCCTTTCTATTTCAGACAGGAGAGGCTGTCAGGAAAATGGAGCCATTCAGAAATGTCCTAGAGGTGAGATGACAGGTGTGTGGAGCACGTGAATCTTCTTTATCCCTTGCAGCCGTGGCTGCCAGGCAGGGGAATGAGCTCTSCCACACAGCTCTGCAGTGAGTGCTGTGCTCCCAGAGCAGCTCTGTGTCTGCACTGAGCATGGACTGAGCGTGGCAGAGGGCTGGGAATRAGGGGAAAGCCTTGGGGTGTGGAGGGACACACGGGGAATGTGCTGAGCTGGGGAGACCTGTCAGGATCACTGGGTGCACTSTTCTCCTGCACAGGACACCCCAAAAACCCACAGCCAGGTGTGGATCAGGGAGCAGCTCTTGGGCTGTGCTGCTCCAGGCCTGTGTGGCACTGCCAGCAGCACGGATTTGGCAGAAAAGGTTAAAGGAAGGCGCCTGTAGAACAGGTACATCCCTGAAAATGTAGGGGACGGTGTCATGAGCTCCCTGTGGGGTGTTCCCATGGGTTTAGGGTGGAACCTGAGCTCAAAGCTGCATTCTGCTGAGCACCTGGGCTGTGCTGCTGGGTGTGCTGCATCACTGCGGAGGAGAAGGACATGGGCCTCAGGGGGGTCTGAGATGTCATGCTTTAGGATTTTTAGTTTCTAYATTTCATGCATCTGTATTCTTATATTTCTATTTTATAGGACTAAAAATTACCACTCTCCCATCTTTAGACAAAACAATTCMTCTCTGAGCCTGAATCCAAGGACACCTCGCTGCCTGAGAGCCCCAAAATATGGAAACAACAGAGAGTTGGGGGGAGCAAGTTTGGGGTGGTTGGCATCATGATCTGAAGATCATTGGAGAATTCAGACCCAATATGTTAATAAGGCAGAACTTATAAAAGGTGAAGATCTCGTGACTCGGGGTCCATTTTGGGTGTAGCCTCAGGAGGAGGCTTTGTCTGCCCTAATGTACCAGGGGGTCTGTTAGGCCTGGATTAAATTGTCTGTTCTCATTTTCTTACATTTGTCTGGCCTCCGTTTCAGGTGAGCCTGATTTTTAGGGAACAGATGGCTGAGGTTTTTCACTGTTTCCCTTTTCTAACAGGAGGGTGTCAGGGTAGGGAAAAATGTGAAGAGGCAGCTTTTGGACACCTTCTAACCCACACAGAACTTCTTCAGCTTCCCCGAGCCATGAGGTAGAAATGCTTGTCTTTCTTGGCTGCCCCTCAGCTCTGAGCATGGGAAGGAATGTGTGCAYGTGTTGTGCCATGACCCCAGCTGAGGGATCCAGCTTGGCTGTTCAGTGCTGGACGATGGCTGAGCACTGCCAAGGAGACATTTTGGAGCTCTCTGTAGGATTGTCCAGTGCCCAGAGTGTAAATACACATTGCATGGGGCAGAAAGGGGCAAACCACTGCCCCAAGGCAGCCTCTGTCCTGAGGGAACGGTGGATATCAGCTGTTTGAGGATCACCCTGTGATTCAAACTGTCCTGGAGGAAGCTGGGTTTGGTGTTGTGAGCTGTAAACGCCTGTGTGTAGGCCAGGGACCTGTCCTGGGGGAATCTGGCTCAAGGGTTGTGTTCTCATGRCTGCAGGTTTGCTCTGAGCTCCTCACAAGAGACCAGCACAGGAGGAGCTGTGACAATACAATAAAGAGAGGAAGAACTTTCAGCCTCACTGAGAGGCACAAGGCCACCCCAGACAAGGATGGCTGGGTGAAAAGCAGCACTTCTGCACCTTCTAAGACCTTCCTGGGAAGATCCCACTGCTGTGCTGCCACACTGTAAGGCAGCAGCCACTGCCACATTCATCTCCCTGCGGTGTCATTCCTTTCAGAGGATCACAGCTGAGAGAGGAAATGTCCTCCTGCCTTTTCCTTTCCTTCCTCCCCCCTTACAAATGGTCTCTTGTACCACCTTGCTCCCTTCTTTTCACAAAAGTGCTCAAAGTGTAACTTCAACTCCTTACAGTCATGTGTGTAACTTCAACTCCTTGGAGTCATAAATTTTATTCACAAGACCATCAATCAGTCATAAATTAATCTGAGCACTGTTTTAATGTAAATAAATATTGAAAATTCAAGGCTCTCTGCTTTCAGTTCCTTTGTAGGACTGAGGGGGGTTGCAGAATTTGTATTTATTACAGTAGCTCTGGRCAGCATGATTTAACCTCTTGGGGTGCCTTCTTACACAGATTTTATCAATTCACACACACACTGGAGTTTCACCAAGGATCAGTGATGAGTGACAGGGGGGGATGCCAGTGCTGAGACCCCATCACAATCTCAAGGGTTTGTTCCCTGTGCTTTCACACCTGTTTCTGTTCCCACTGCAGTCAGATATTGCTGGAAAGAACCAAAAGGCTGGGAATAGCCTCTGCCTTTTTGCTTTGTATCTCCCAGTCCCTTTCCTTGGCCCCAAATGCAATGTCCAGTGACAATCCCAGCGGGGACTCAGCCTCCCCCTCAGGGCACAGCTGAACCAGGGAATGGCCTGGCTTGGAACAGAYCTYAAAGAGGATCSAGTGCCACCCTCTGCCATGGCAGGGACACCTCCCACTGTCCCAGGCTGCTCCCAGCCCCAATGTCCAGCCTGGCCTTGGGCACTGCCAGGGATCCAGGGGCAGCCACAGCTTCTCTGGGCACCCTGTGCCAGGGCCTSCCCACCCTCCCAGGGGAGAATTTCTTCCCAATATCCCATCTAACCCTGCCTCTTTCAGTTTAAGGCCATTCCCTGTGTCCTGTCCCTCCATCCCTTGTCCCCAGTCCCTCTCCAGCTCTCCTYGAGCCCCTTTAGGCACCAGAAGGCTGAAATAACCCCAATTCCCTCAGACTTTCCCCCTAGGAGAGGTGCTCCCTCCATTCCCACCTGCATGGCCTCCTTTGGGCTCACACCAACAGGTCCATGGGCTTCTCCTGCTGAGAACCCCAGAGCTGGGCACAGGTTGGGGTGGCTGAAAGCAGCCCCTGCCTCTCCCCCATCCCCGGGGCAGCACAGTGAGGGGCTGTGCCCTGCAGCCCAGACTCTGTGGGGACACGGATCCCAAACTCCTCCCTGCCCAGCCGAGGGGTCCCTGGCARCATCCTGGGGGTGGTGAGGAGTGGCAGCTGCCGGAGCCCTGCACACCCCTTTCCTGGCAGAAGCTGGCCAATCCTCATTAGCAACCCTCGAGTTCATTAAGCTGTCACTGCTGGGGGAGCCCAGCCCGGCCCCGCATCCCTTCGGCAGCCACACGATGGCAGAAGAACCAAGGAGCACTGCACAGCTCCCAAAAATCTCTGCTGAGAGCGGGGAGGGCACCTGCCCCTGGATCTGCTGCCTTTCCCGTGGGCTGGTGCGGACCCCACCAGGAATTCCAGCTGCAGGGCAATTCCAGCTGCAGGGCAATTCCAGCTTCGGGGCAATTCCAGCTGCGGGGCAATTCCAGCTTCGGGGCAATTCCAGCTGCGGAGGAATTCCAGCTGTGGGGCAATTCCAGCTGCGGGGGAATTCCAGCTGCGGGGCAATTCCAGCTTCAGGGCAATTCCAGCTTCGGGGCAATTCCAGCTGCGGGGCAATTCCAGCTTCAGGGCAATTCCAGCTGCGGGGCAATTCCAGCTGCGGGGCAATTCCAGCTGTAGAGGAATTCCAGCTGCGGGGGAATTCCAGCTGCGGGGCTGATGTGGAGCCTCTTGGTGCAGGGTTCCACATCCTCCAGCCCTGATGGCACACAGGACCCTGTGATCTCCCACAGGCCACCAGCACCGGAGGAAAGAATTCCCGTATTTCAGATCATGAGGAGCTGTAAATTTGTCCCCGAGCCCCCTGCCAGAGCYGGACCTGCCCTGTGCAGGCAGTGGGAGAGGTGACCCCCAAATGTCCTTTCCAGGCTGAGTCCCTCCCTGGCCCAGCCCATCCCAGGTCAGCCTCTGGCAGCAGCTCTGCCCCGGCAGCGCCTCAAACCAGCTGCTTTTGAGGCACTATTGTCCCAAAGGTCTCTCAGTAACCTTCTCAGCACAGCAGAGCTGCTCACAGCCTGCAGGGGAGGTGTTCTCCCCTCAATCAGCTCTGTCAGAGATTCCAGAAGCACCAAATCAGCCTCAGGTGGTGCCTTTACCAGAGACAAGACCCACAGCAGGGCCCAAAGTGCCCAGAGGGACAAGCCAGACTTCCAGCTGCCAGGACATGGAAAAACAATCCCTACTGCTCAATACCAGGTTGGAGAGACCCAAAGGAGTGCAAGCGAATACAATTCCACATGGGGTATCTGACCAGGAGAAGCTCTTTTTCAGGACAAGGTGCTTTAAGATTGAGGATTTCTTCCCAAAAAGATGCACAAGCTAATAAAGCTACTACCAAATCCAAACTCAGAACCTACAAGCTCCYCCACAATCTAGGAAATTCCAGAGCAGTTTGTTTTCCCTTCTGTTTTGCAGCTGGATCCTGGCTSAGGGGTCTTGCTGCCTTGCAGGGCATTATGGCAGCTCCAGAAGGGGAGGGTCACCACTGCCTCTATCTCAGAGGTGAATAAAATGGGTAAAATAATGCAGGTACCCCAATTTAAACACTCACTCACCTGGTGACACACTCACATTTGCTCTGTGGAGYCAAATACTCTTCATCCTGTGCATCCTCTCTGTTTTGTTTTGGTGTTTGGTTGTTTGATTGTTTGTTTTAAATCTCTTCTTCTTCACAGTTCTCTGAGTTCTGGAAAAGAATGAAGAGGTGTCAGCATTTATGTTAAAGCTGCATCATGTCAGCCTGGGCTGTACTGAGATTTGGTAGCACACAGCAGCTGTAAATTAGTATCTTTTAGCTCATCTCAGATCATTTTCAGGCTGCAGGAAAGGGATGGGATAACCCAGGGAATAGGGTATAACCCACCAGCCCAGAGCCATCCCACCACCCCATGAGGAAGCAGGGTAGGTCAGGGAGGCTCCACCAAGGTCCTGGATCACCACACAAATCCACAGGGGCAAGGCAGGCCCAAGTTTAGGAAATCAATCCACGGCTCAGGATCAGGTCCAGCAAAATTAGCCAGCCCTGGGATGGCCAGGCAGGGCAGTATGGAGGGAAGACCCCTGGTGAAGTTGCTCAGGCCAAAAAGGCTCATCAGTGCCCTCAGGGCTCAGACAGGCATTGGTTAAATTGGTCTGCAAGAGGGAGGCTTCTGACTCACAGACAGATTGTTTTTAATGAACCTTTTTTTGCCATTCACCATTTAAAAAAGAACGTTAATGCCCTCAGTTGATATAAATTAAGATTTTCTTCTGATTAACAGTGGTGATTGGCTGCTGGCCTGATCCAYTAAAGGCTACAAAATATCATTTTGGTCCTCATTTTAGAATCATGAAACTGGAACACAGTTTTGAATGTCGGTATTACAGACATCTGAAAGTGTGCTGTTTCTCAAAAGTTAAAACAAACATAAAAACTTCCTTTAAGTTTGAAAAATCAAGACATAAGGGTACTCAGGTGCAATGAATTACTTTTCCTTGACAAACTGTAGCAAGGAGGGCATTTACCTGAGTTCTAGCCTCAAGGTGAGCAGCTGGAAAAACATGKACATGGGGGTGAATTAAAGTGTTACGAGTGGTTACTGCCTGCTCCCAAAGCACCCTGCTCCGTGTGGAACCTGCTTCTAAAACACTTAGCTCAGTGTGGAACCTGCTCCTGAAACAGCCAGCTCAGCGTGGGAGTGGAATCTGCTTCCAAAGCATCCTTGCTCAGTGTGACACCTGCCCCTAAAACACCCAGCTCACTCTGGAACCTGCTCCCAAAGCATCCTGCTCAGTGTGGAACCTGCTCCTAAAACATCCAGCTTGGTGTGGCACCTGCTTCTAAAACACCCAGCTCAGCATGGGAGTGGAACCTGTTCCCAAAGCATCCTGCTTGGTGTGGAACCTCTTCCTAAAATATCCTGCTCAGTGTGGTACCTGCTCCCAAAGCAACTTGCTCACCCTGGAACCTGCTCCTAAAATACTCATCTCACTCTGGAACCTGCTCCCAACGCATCCTGTTCTCTCTGGAACCTGTCCCTAACATATCCTGCTCACTGTGGTACCTGCTCCCAAAGCAACCTGCTCCTAAAACACCCAGCTCGGTGTGATACCAGCTCCCAAAACATCC